ATAAATATGGATGATAAAATATAATCATTATTTTTTTATTTTTTTGTTTCCAGGCTCAGACCCTACCCGACCCAATGGGTAGGGTCTGACATAGGTCCGGATCGACTGGGACACAATATGATCCATTCCCAGCTCTACTTAAGGGATAAAAAAATGCTGAGTTTGGTTGTTCAATCATTTTTTTGGGGTTAAATTTCAAGGGATGGAACTATATCTCTTAGACCTGAACCTATCTCAGCCTTCCTTTGTGTTTTTGGAACCTTGAACCTCTCTCATCCAATTTCAAACCAATATGCAACCTTTATTTCCAAAATAGATGATTAAAATATTCTATATTGACTTATCATGTTAGCAATAAAAGGAAAATAACAAAAAGAGGCTTGAAGTCCATTAAATTATCACTAAAGTAGTCAAAAGATTACAAATTACAACATTTGAGGATATGTTTTTAAACTTCTATATCAATTAAGTGCATCCTTAAAAAAAATAAAAAAATCCTAAATTGCTTATATTCGGTATTGAGAAGCATAATAATTAGGGATACTTTGATAACTTTACCCCCAATTATCACTTGGTTAATGCCTCTTTATGCATAAAATTATTATCAAATTACCCTTATGGATTCCTAATACTGCATAAAGGCAATTTTGAAACTTTTTGACATTTTTATTGAGGTCATACCTGATTGATATAAGAACTTAAATGCAATACCTCAAGTGCAATTTGTAAGTTTTTTGAACCCCTTAGTCATATTATAAGGGGTTTCAACCCTTTTTATGATATTTTCCAAAAAATAAACAACCCCATACATTAATATAATACGAGTAGTTAAAATGCCATTTTTCTTTGTATCATTAAACTAAGCCAGCCTAAAGAAAAATCTATGTTAATTATATTAAATTGACCCTTCACCTTGCAAACAATTTCTCTAAAACGAGACATGAAATGAATCCTCGTCTTCTGCAAAATGACCCTTGTCCCTATCAGTTCTCCCACCTACCACCTCTATCTCTCAAAAGTAAAATGCCACTTTTTGTTGGAAGCAAAATATACAATAAAACTACCGATCAATCTTGACTATTGGATGTGAAATCTGATTGCTTGGATGTATCACAAAGTTTGAAAAAATTACTTTTGAACTTTGAGCTTGGTTAATAAAATAAATGTTAACCATCTAATTTCACATCCAATAGTCAAGATTAACTGTGACTACATTGTACTAAAGATAAATGGTCTCATTATATACTTATATTTAGTTGAATTACCCATCTGCATGGAAGTTCTCTCTTTTTCTTAGATCTCCATAACAAAAGCCAAAAAGATTGTATGCCATCTACTCCCTCAAGTAAAATCCTATGATTATTTTTAAAATTCTAAATTCAATTAATTAAACTCCTCAATCAGTCTAGGGAGAAAACAAAATGATAATAAAAAGAAAAAAGAACAAAATGAGACTTTATAAATACCTGAAAACAAAATGTTTCAGATCAAATAGAGACTGTCTAGTTTTTCAATAGTCAGATCTAAGTATTTATAAACTCTTTTTTTTTTTTCCTCTAAAGAAACTCATATGGTGATTCTAAAGCAGACTTTGATAGTATGGATACGTGCAACGTCAATCTAGAATAGCACCGGTTAAGAGGGCTGATTTGATTCACGTGGAAGGCTCTAAAAAGACAAAAGAATTATCACAAATGGCATGAATGGAAGTAGTGAGAAAAGTGATGACTTGCGGCCAGATTGAGGGTAATGGAGTTTGATAGAACGGAATGATTCATGTAGCCGACCCCAAATAATTAAAATAAAGCTCTGATGATGACGACAACGACTTAATGATTCTTAAATAGATTTCAAGTTTTTAGGTTAAAAATATCTATTTCGCTAAAAAAAAAATGTGTATAATTTGCTCTTGCAAGAGTACACCATTTGACGTCAAATAAAACATGAGATCTATCAACCTTTCCAATACCCTCCATCTCTTACTTTCAAGATCACTACTTGTAATATCTCTTTCCATAAACATCATTGCTTGCAATGGGGATTTAGAGCATTAAATATCATTTCCCTATAAAAGAGGAAAATTAAGCATCCACACCATAATAATTATGGTTGGTGAAGTTGGTTTTCCTGATATTTATTTGAGTCATATTGGGTAAGAACTCAGGTTTCCCCCTTTTATCCCATTATTGCAACATTTAAAATAATATATAACATTTAAAATAGAAAGCAACCAGGTTCGTTTTGATTCATTTAGTCTGACACAAATGAAATATAAAGAAATTTATCAAAATAAACCTGTGAGATTAATTATTTAATATTTTGACCATATATTTTGAACTAATTTCAAAATATTCGTAGACATGATTTTAACTTGGAAAATTAGTAAAAAGGCAAAATATTTTAACTTAGAAATCTAAGGCATATTTTGATAAATTTCCCTGAAATATATACAAACATGATCCCTATTCCTGCCTCTCTCTATTACTTGGGTATTGGCCTATTGGTTCAATTCTCTCTTTTTGTCCTTTGGTTTTTTGGGAAATATTCATTGTTCATTCTTTGTTCTTTGCCTATCCATCAGATCAATCTTCTCCCTAAATGTGTCTGGGTCTAACGTTTTTTTTTTTTGTTTCTTTTTCGCATTTTTCCCTTCATTTTGTTTCTTTCTTTTTGAGGTTAGTTGGGTGGCACGTCTCTTTCTAAATAAATAAGTTAATTAAATCACTATTTATTCAAACAAGAAGCAAGAGGACTTTTTCTAGAGGATGAAGTTTCTATAAGGCCTAGATTTTATCCTCAAATCATCGTCTAGAAAATGCTTTCGGCAACAGAAATCTCCATGATGACTCTAAACTCAATTTCTAACATCAACAATAAAATTTGAAACTCAAAAAATGGTATAGATCTTATAGAGCTGTGAACACTTATTTTTAGTGTAAAATGGATGGTCTATATATTTTGTTATAATATACACTTTTTTTAGAGTTTTAAATCATAATTTTATTTACAACCATAAGATTCAAGCCGAGACGATTGATGTAAAATTTTTCCAATGCTTGAATTACAATTTTTGATGAGTTATGAGGTGGTGATTTACTTATTTGGATATGCAGCCCTATTAAACCATTTTCATTTGATTTCTAAACAACATAACTAAAAGTAGGTAAACTATTACTAAAATGGTCAAACCACTGTGGGGAGTTAATTCAATGGATTCACCAATAGAGTGGTCAGTCCCAAAAAGATTAGTTCTCTCAAGAACCTTATCAAGTTTTGTTTCGTTCAAATCCTCCCATCTAAGTGGCCTTAATTACTTAACGTAAATACTCACATTTGTGCCATGATTTAAAGTTGAAGTATACTTTATAATAAAAGCCAATTTATTTTTGGTACTTTTTTTTTTTTTTTAAGGTATTTAAGTGGGGAAGATTGGCCCTTATTAGTTTTTTCAAATAATTTAGGAGTTAGTTTTTTAAAGATGTCAGTGGGGTGGTGTCAGTGGGAATGAGAACCACAACATAGTGACTAATGTGTGGGGGTGATACAACTACAACCCCAATCTCTTTTCTTGATTGATTTTTGGTATTAGAAAGAGAATCACATAGTTATTGAATTAAAATTGGGTGACGAGGTGTGCGTTATTTATTGAGCTTGAAGTCAAATAACAAAATCTGAAACTCATTTCAAAATGTTAGATTTGACAATTTGATAGCTAGGAATAATTATGGCATCCTTGTATAAAAAACAAATAATTTTGTAATATACGATCCGTATTTATTAATTCACTAATTCATGAGAAGATAGTGAACTCTTGTATTTGAAAAGTATTTCAGAAAATATATTTGAAGTAGATGGCGATTGGTAGAGTAACTCTTGATCGTGATTTCCTGTATGAATATTGCACTCAACTCGAAACTTGTGATTAGTGTTAAAACATCGATCTTCTTGTTGGGATGCGATTCTATCTTCATAGCTTTCTCAAGATACTTCTTTATTAAGTTTCGAATCGCTAGCCAATTCAATGAAGCAACCGTTGGTACCATATAGAAGCGGCCACAAACTGGAGAATATTGACCAATTAGAAAATAACTATGACATCTTTGTATAAAAAATAAATAATTTTATAATATACAATCCCTATTTATCAATTAACAAATATCGTTCTAGAATCCAAAATAAACATTAATACCTAGTTTTCTTGCTCTAAAGTCTAAATCCTTGTTTTGCATAAGGGGTATCCTAATAATTTGGTCCCTTTAATGCTACAAACAAAGTTAATAAAATACTTGCTTTTGTCCAATTTTTTTATTGGAATTAAATATAATGATATTATTTACTTTTAGTATAAGGAGGTCACAATTACTTACAACCATCTTATATGAAATTTGATAGTTTGGGTGCGTCACAATGTTCAAAAAAATTCATTTTGAACTCTAAGTTTGATCAATGAAATAAATTCAGCCACCTAATTTTTCTTCCAACATCCAAGATTAATTATGACTACTTTGTACCAAAGATAAATGATGTCATTGTATATTTTTTAATTTGAAAACTCAATATCAAAGTTGGATACTTTTTAACAAAATAATTGTTGAAGTACTTGAATGAAGCCTAGGGACCACTCTATTAATATATTAAAAGCCAAGTAGCCACTCTATTGATATACTATTTCAGGTGAGTATTTATTCAACAATCTCAATAATAATTTGAAGTGATTTTTAAGGTAGTTTGATCGATTCAATGATATTTTACCTTAAAATAAAAGCACCAAATCGTTTGCAGCACACCTAACATGAAATACATTAACAAACATCAGGGGCATTTTAGACTTTTTTTTCTAAATAGGGGCATTTTAGTCACATTAAAAATAGAAGGTCCAGGATCCCCAAGCCATAGGCCATAAAGGCAGTGGCATTTATTCCCGCTCTTTATGTAATTTTGAGAGAAACACGAGCCCAAAATGGTCACTGAAGATAGAGGCGCGGGACATTGGATAAGGGCGTCAAAGCCATCACCAATTTTGACACCATTTTGACGGTCCGATTTTCCACCTGTTTCTCCCTAAACCCTCTGATTCTTCTCCTTTTCTCCGAAGATTTTTTAGGGTTTCAGAGTCCAATTCTCTGAAGAATTTCTAGGTTTCTGTAACAGGACCTTGCTTTTACTATTTGTCCTCGAGCGCAAGCTTCGGGTGCCATTAAAGGAGGGGATTTTGAAGGTCTTTTTGCATTTTGAGCTGAGGCCGAGAAGAATGGCTGATTTTTAGGGTTGCGCAGTTGATTTCTAGGGTAACGGTTGGTAGTGGTGTTCTGAGCAACAAGTGGAGCGGGAAAAACGGTTTCTAGGGTTTTAGTGACTGAGAAACTGGTGAATTTCGTGTTTGTGTTCTGGTTTTTAGTGGAATTGCAGAAGCAGAGGGGAAGGACTTTGCAGAGTCGGAAGGAGAAGAGAGGTGATTTATTGGGTTTTATATTTTGATTAAAGAGTTCATTTTTCCTAATTAGAAGAAAGGAGGGAGCATGTCTGAGGTCTTATCAGAGATGAGTGAGGCATGAAGCTTGCTGAATTTTAGGCTTTGTTTCTGTGTTGGATGGGATATAAATCCAGAGAAAATGTATTTGGTTGCCATGCGCAAGTCGTTTAAGGACTCTCTGAAAGCTCTTGAAGCTGACATTCAGCACGCCAATACTCTGTGAGTTTTGGATCATCTGTTTCACTCTTTAAGAGGAAATGATCTTTTCTTATTTCAAATTTGCATTTTTTAGCAATGGATGATTATTTTCTGGATTTGATTTGAATTTCCCACATATCTCTGTATTTTCTGCACTTGATCATTGAAAAAAAAAAAAATAGACTCTATTAATTGTTTATCCTTATTTTCATGTGAGGGAGGTTTTCTGTAAAATTCTGATTTACAGTCTGATGCCGTTATGAAATACCTAGAAATTTGAGCAATTATTTTTTCAAAAAATTGTGCACTAAGTTTTCTGTTTTCTATGTAAAAGGAGTGAGCATTGTGTGACTAGAGTTAGGCAATCACTATTTTGATCGACATTTGTTTATAATTGGATTAAGTGATGCTTATATTTTACTTTTGTTCAAGTTTTAATACTTTTCTTCCATTTCCTCTTAAATTTTTCAATTTTGCTCAAATATAAAGGATTTTTTCTCAATTTCCTCATAAAAACTTCGAATTCTGTTCAAATATAAAGAGAACTCAATGAATTTCCCTTCAATTTACTCTTAACAAAATGTGAATTCCATTCAAATGTAATGATTATGGTATTGAGGATTTTTCCTATGTCTATGATGCACGAAACTGGTATCAAAAGAGGCATGGATCCTATGCCTCTGTGATTCCTACATTCATTTTGAAAGTATTGCATAAACAGAATTTAAAAGGAATGAACCCATTTTCACCTATGTTGCATTGACACGGGTGTGTGTGTCCATGTGTGCAATGAGTTTGAGGTGTCAGATTCCTCATGCCATGAAGAAGAGGATAATCACACATAGCTATATTATGAAGAGATAAATTTTGTCTTCCGCAAACTTTAAGCAGCATTGTCCAAAAAAAAAAATTGTGAAGAGACAATATCCGACACTGTTTTACTAAATGTTACGTTTTATGATGAGTAGCAAGAAATAATCAATTATACTGGCTGAATCCACTGATATTTCAAATCTCATATATGTCTACTCAAAATTAAAAAGAAGATCAAGTCTCTGAACTGATATGTGAAATGGTTAATGGCTAATAAAAAGGAATGATCGTGAAGAATCTGTGACATCATGTGTGTTGATGTGTTTGACATGGGTATGGCACCTAAGAAGAAGAATCCATGTAATAATAGACTTTCAATTGCACATGTGTCGGTGGTTTTGATTCCATTATGTGCAAACTAGTATTAAAATGATCATTGGTTGCGGTTATGGTGCAAGTTACTTGTTGAATGTTTTATGTCTCTGTATTTTTTGTCCTCATTTTTTATAGTGCTAGTGGTATGTTTTGTTCTTTAATAAAGTACTTCAAATTGTTGAACACTCTTTATCTTTTTCTCATTTTATGCTACCTTTTGTTGGATGAACTTATCTTTCCCATCATAAGGTATTCATTGTTATGCCTATGATTCATGGATTATCATTTTCCAGAGGTCTCTCTGGTTTCTACGCCCATATCTTCTTAAACTGTTATGTTTGGCTTTCAAAAACATTTGTTTCATTTGTTGTTCCTTGTTTTTCTTTTTTGCAACTTGATTGCCTAGCTTCTTGTGCTACTGATATTGACTCATGGATTCTAATATCTATTATTTGTCAGATCTCTCTCTCTCTCTCTCTCTCTCTCTCTCTCTCTCACACGCACGCACACACGCACACACACATGACTCTGCTTTTCATTTTATTCAATCAATTCGATTGTCGTTTTTCTGAAGTTTGTCAAATTTTCATACTAATAACTGGCAAATGCAGCTTCATTGATCATATTGTCCCATTGCACTTCAAATTTTAATTAAAAAACTTCATTTATGAGAAACAAATAGGAGACAGATCCCTATTGGTTTATAATTCATGTTTTATAATTTTTTTGATAGAAGTAAAGTTGACTCTTCTCACTTATCATAGTGAGCGCATGAATAGTGAAATAAAAAGCTTACACAAATATCTTAAAAGAGTATGAAAAAGTTGTATGTGAAGACTTGTCTGTGTAGTTTGAAATTTCTTCTGTAATATGTTAGAATAGGGCTAGTGGCATGTTTAGCATGCTTATCTATAATGAAGTTCTGCATACAACATGCTTTATATACATTGTAGGGATTTTATGTTTAAGGAAGTTATTTTCTATACTCAATTGTGTACTTTAAATTGCATGATATGAAAGCAAACAGCTGCATCTTAAAAGTGGTACATCAATTTCGTTCCTTGGATGATTCATCATTCCAATTCAAATCCAGAGATTGTGAACTAATACCTTTTGTAGTGACGAAGGGCATATTTTGAATCATAAAATTATGCTCAAAACGTGATCTTTTCCACTTATGAGGAAACTTCTCCCACGATATTTAAAACCTAAAACTAATAAAGGTGAAATGAAAAATTTTCTATCACATGAAGGGATTTCATTGTGTACCATTTGAAGGATAGGTGATTGGTATACCTGGATTCATTGTCAAGAGAATAATATAACCGCGCAAACTCATCTTTGGCTCCAATGTTTCGTGCCATAATTCACTAGTAGAAAATAGCATTAGTCATTTTAAGTGAACTTTGCTGATGAAATCTGAAGTTTCACATGGGTCTCATGCTCTTGCGCATTCCTTTGACCTAATAATGTGGAGAAAATTGCAGGGCCTCAGATTTTTCAAGGGAATATGATGGTGCTTGTCTCCAAATGAGAATGTCATATAGTCCAGCTGCACATTTATTCCTATTCTTGGTGCAGTGGACTGATGTTAGCCTCGCTGGCGCCCTTGGACTCCTAAGAATCCTAATTTACAAGGTTGGTCATTGTGTTCCTGGTATTTTGTTATAATTCACTTTATGACTACTGGTTTATGATTTTTTGCTCTCTCTCTCTCTCTCTCTCTCTCTCTCTCTCTCTCTCTCTCTCTCTCTCTACTCTCTCTCTCTCTCTCACTACT